ATTCACACTTGACGTAAACTTTAAGGGGAAAAAAACAGCGAGTAGAGTACTGTATCTGTACTTAACCCTCGTGAAATGACAAGTGATAAACTTTTTTTCAGTATTCTGCGGATCCATGATTCCTTCTTCAACTATTCTAGTTCTATACTAACTATATACAGTTTCCATTGGAGCAAACATATCCCAGGAGTGGAATTCTGTTCTAACCGAGGTAGTTCATTTCTAACTATATATCAGAAATGTACTCAAATTTATATAAGAAATATTATTGTTGCAGCAGTGAGTGAGCAGTGTACGGTGGTTTTGGTTGATTGGGGTTTGGGATGCTTTTGTTTTTGTTGATTTGTTCTATGGAGTTATTGATTTTGCAGAAGACTTCATGTCTCACTCACAGTTGATTTGCTGCTGTGGGGTCTGTGATATCATTTGTACCTTAGAATTGTAAGAAGGGAATCACACCCTGTGATGGTGATAATCATAATGATAACTGAAAGTATTTAATTATATATGTAAATACTATTATGCATGAGTTGTCATTTCAGGCAAATTTCTCTGGTTTCGTCCATCAATTTTACTGCAAAGTTTCATAGCTCTCTGTGTCAGGCCTTGTCTTTATCAACAGAAGTCTATTTTTGTGGAGGAGTATTTCCCATTTCATGTTCATATATGATGTATTCAGGTTGAAGTTGAACACAGTACTCTCAATTCAAAGTTTCAAACACCAACGAGTTTATTATAAGTGGAACGGGAAAGTATTAGATTTCTAATTAAGTTGATATTTTGAGCCAATTAATTATACAATGAGTTGTTTGCAAAGGAATCAAACTTGTTCTGATCCTATCACAAATGTGCTACTTCTCTAGTTTGAGATTCATTGGAACATACTGAGAACTCACAATCTAATGATTTTTTTAATATAAATATTATTGTTGATGTCTAATCTATGCAACTTTATCTTAACTCTAAACTTGAATTTAGACCTTTGAAAAAGAAAGATTCGGACTTGTCCTTATTCTAAACGAATCAAGACTTTTGAAAAAGGAAATATAATATATATATATAAATATATATTATATAATTATATATAATATAACTTGATTTGTTTTAATATGATTGTATAATATGAAATTAAAAATAATTTAAAGAAATTAGAATACATGATATGTCAAATATACATAGTTATCGCATCAACCGGTGAAAAATAATTTATATATAAAATATTACTCTTGAAAAAAATATATTCAGACTTGTCTTTAATTAGTACCAAACCTGAATTGAGACTACTCTTGGAAATGAAAAAGATTTATATTGGTCTTAACTCTAAATCCGAATCAAAACCCCTGAAAAAGAAAAAATAAATTTATACTTGCCTTAATTCTGAACTATAATTGAAACCCTTGAATCTAATTAGTAAATACGAGTACGACAAAAAAAAAGTATGAAAATTTTACAGGTATGATATGACAAATAGTAAAAATATGTTTGTAAATATTCAGTCATAAAATTTCGATACGGGAAAAATACAGTATGGGTATATACAGTACATTGTCAATAATACATTTTGAAAAAAAAGGCAATATCAATTCTGGTTTTAACACTTTTCATGGACCACCTGATTAAAATCAATATAACATTTCAAATATAAAGTATTCAATTTGCGAATAATATGAATGTGTTGATAAAATACGGCAATAATACGAATAATACTGATAAAATATGGTAATAATATGAATAATTCATGAATAAAACGTATGAAACATATAGTTTGCGAATAATACAGATGTGTTGATAAAATACAGAAATTCGATAATGATACGTGAATTATACGGCTGGGCATATAATAGCCGTATAATTCTCGTTTTATTCACGAATTTACTAACTAGGCCAATCTCGTCTAAACTTTAAAACCAAATCGAAACCCTTGAGAGAAAAGATTCAATCTCGTCTAAACTTTAAAACCAAATCGAAGCCCTTGAAAGAAAAGAATCAAACTAAAGACTCAAAAAAAAAAAAAAAAAAAAAAAAAAAAAAAAAAAGATTTTTTCACCTTCATCTTAGTTTTGAGTTGTGGAGCAAAATTCAAGTGGAATGGAATGAAATGAAGCATAATTTCCATATTTGTTATAGCAATAAACACGTATTCACTGTAGCAAATGTCTCGCGACAGGTTCACTATAACACAAAATTCGCTAACAAATTCTAATAGCTAACTTGAAACAATACTAAGTAATACAAAATCAAGACAGAAAACACACACAAATATTAATCGAGTAAAGAGAAAAAAATATACGTGCAATTTATTCTTGTTTACCCAATTAACAAGTTACGTCTAGCAAAATCAATATTATATCAATATTGTCTCACTTCTCTCATTACAATGAAAGTAATTTGTCCCATGATTTGCTATCACACTCACACAAAAGAAAAGTTTATTTATATACTAGGTTTAAAAGACTAAATCCTAATATTATAAGGATTCATATTCTTAAGCCTAAATCTAATAATGAATTATTAACTTAAATAAATCATTCAGCGACTCTTCATGGAAAATGCCCAAACTGACTATGAGCCCAGGGGTGTTGCCCCCTCAACCCTCGCCTGGTACCAAAGACCCCCGAATGCGTCTACGTAATTCCTTATTGTTGAAGTAGTTAACAATTCCAACATAACTCGCTGTAAAAAATCCAAATCTCTATTTCAGTAAAAAAAAAAAAAAAACATGTTTTTTCAGTGTAAGAGTATTTTAAAACCCTAATGACTTTGTATTACATTAGGAGAGTTGAGGGACGTCCTAGACACTATAAAGGGTGTTAAATCCGAGAGTGTGAGAATCGCTAAATGAGAGACTTGAGAGGGAATTCTTGTAATTTTTTTATAATGAAATTCCGCAAAGACTAAACTGATATAACTCTCACACAGTAAATGAACTACTATAAATCCTTGTGTGTGGTTTGATTATTATTTTCCTTTGTCGCTTAACTTTTGTTTTAATAGACATTTAGGTTTTTGCAAACATCCAATTAGATCCTCAACACCCCCTTCGTAATCATTTATTCATTTATATTACAAAATCTAAGTCTATTATTTGAAGCAATAATAAAAATGATCCATTTCTATAATTTGCAAAATGTATTTACAGTAGTGAACTGTTCTCTTTAAACTTTGGCATATATGTACAGCATTATATATGATTCAGAATCAAGTCAGTAACTAATAATGAAAGGGGAGAAGAGAGGTGGCACCCTAGGGCAAAGCAAAGCAAAGGCCAAGGCAAAGAAAAGAAGAATGCGCGGTAGATAGAGAGAAGGAGAGAAAGGGTTTTCTACAGTTTCACTTAATACTTTTGATTTTGAGCCATCCAGCTGTATGAAATGATATATTTAGCAGACTACACATCTACACGTACGAAATTTTAAGTGACGTCGTCTTCCCCATTTTGAAAGGCCAAAAATTTCGACATATTTTTCTAACTCTGTTAATTGCTGCCCTAAATCTAGAGCTCAGCCTGTGTCTAGATTTGCATGTCGGCGTTTTAAAAAATATTCTCTTAATTTTTTTTTTCTCTATTTATACCTTCATTCATTCACTCTTCCTTCCTCGTACCTTCTATTTCTAAGTCTTCCCCCATAATTTTTATTTTTCTTTGAATAATATGGTTTCTCTTTAGGGTTCTTTTAATTAATTAGGGTTTTGTAAATGAGTGAAGGGAGCTTTCTTCAGTCCAGTTCGAGGCAGTGGAAGGCTGATATTTAGCTGCTGACTCGTTGGTTCAAGAGCTCATCATCATCAGCAGAAGAAGAAGAAGATGGATCGATCATGGAGAGAATCATTACAAGACTTAATTAATGATGAGTTTCTGATCCGACGATGCAGGAGCTGAGTTCAGCCATGGCTGTCACGTCTTGGACTGAAGGGAGCTCCCTGTCTTGAATTAATTAATCTCAATCTCATCCATCATAGCTAAATTTTTATATTTTCCACATAAATTTGCGAATTTAATAATTCTAAACCATGATCATTTGCTTCTTCATCTTCATACTGAATATCTAGACATCTATAGTTTACTTAAATTTATAATATTTATTTGCATGATTTATGGTTCATATTTTGGATTATTAACTTGAAATGTGCTTGTTTTAGTGGTTTTTGATTACAGAAATTAGGGCTAAAAGGGGGATCAAGATTGAAGAGGGAGCTTAATTAATCGGTACTGGAGATGGAGATCAAGTAATGGAAAGTATAAAAACCTAGTTGGATCCCAGCTGTCATTTAATTTCTCTGTGCAAACCAAATTTCTTAATTGGTTTCGTGTTATGTATAGATGATATTGTAAGTATTTGAAACACATGGATCAACCATTGTTGTGCTATTATTTTGATTATTTATTATGCATAATTAATCTAGGGTTTAATTTTAATTATTCACATGTGAAATTTTAATCAATTTATTTCTGAATAGAAGCCATGCTTATGAAGCTAGCTACTCTCTAGCTTCTTTAATTTTTCAACACAAATCTTTGACTTGTCCTCACAAATCTTTTGATTGCAATTAAATCATCGTAACTTGAAATTAAATATAATTTTTTTATCGAGTTGAGTCGATTTATGTTCATCCTAATCTACCAAAACTCTCACTCTACTGACTATTCTTATTAGGAATCAATGAGGTTGATTGCTTGTAAATGCAATGTCCTGATTTAATGTTTTATTTTGGTTAATAAAATATTTTTGAGTATATATGTTTTTAATTGATTGTTCTTATAAATTCAAGATCCAAAGAATTTCTCAATTTCTTTTGAAGATTAGGAAGAGATATAGACAGACATTCTGAAAATTGTAGTGCAAACTACACCCACCTCGCCACATAATTAGAGACTTAAGAGTAATTAATTTAATTAAAGGATGGACCATATAATATAATATAAAATGAAATACTTCAATTTATGACTGTCAGCCACATGGATTTTTACAACAAAAAACAAGAACAATTAACTATCTTAATCACACCATAGAAATCCCAGCTAAAATCCCTTTAGTTATCTCCAAAATTTGGAAAAAAGCCATGGCAGAAGAAATTGGCACACTCAAAATCATCAAAACGACAATCCCCAAAGCCAAACTTGGTCTTGTATTCATTAATTTACCTTGCAAAACCCCTAAAGCGTCACATATTATTGAATCGTAACTTGTATAGTAACGTTTCTCCCATTGCATCCAATCGTCAGGCGCCTCGTAGTTCCTCTCCACCATCTTCATCTCATGGATCCTCTTTCGAAGAACGATCATGTTCTCATCGACAATTCGACAATAATTGTGACAATGATGATGATGGCGACGATGATGATCCGGTGCACTATTTCCTTTACTAGCAAAAACCCTAGTGCTCAAAACCCTATCTTTTTTGCAAGTGCTTGAGAATAATGAAGAACAAGAAGGATGAATAAAATTGAGAGAATATGAAGATGAATCCATGAAAAAGGGGGTTTGAGAATTTGGGTTTGAAAATGTGACGGATATTGAGATGTATTTATAGTTTAATTAAATGAATAAAGAAAAGGATTAGGGCATGTGATTAAGCAAGAAGGGATGCGCAAAACCGTGTCTTAATTAACGGCCAACAGCTGCAATTAATAATTAGTTAGCGCGTAATTAATTTGGTTTTAATTAATTGGGAGTGGATTTGGTGAAGGCCAACACCCCTTGATGGCAAAAGGCAAATCAAAGATTACAAAGGGGTTTTTAATATAATATTAAGAACAACTTGAATATGAAAAATATATGATTTTTACTCTTTATAATGAGATTATATTCAAACACTCGTAAAATAAATTAAATATATTCCTTTAAGGATACACACACTAATAATACTAATAAAATAAGGTAATAATACGAATAATTCATGAATAAAACGTATGAAACATATAGTTTGCGAATAATATGGATGTGTTGATAAAATACAGAAATTCGCTAATGATACGCGAATTATACGACTGGACATATAATAGCCGTATAATTCGTGTTTTATTCACGAATTTACTAACTAGGCCCTTGAAACAAAATGTTCAAACTCATCTAAACCCTAAAGCCAAATCGAAACCCTTAAAAGAAAAGATTCAATCTCGTCTAAACTTTAAAACTAAATCGAAGCCCTTGAAAGAAAGGACTCAAAAAAAAGATTTTTTCACCTTCATCTTAGTTTTGAGTTGTGGAGCAAAATTCAAGTGGAATGGAATGAAATGAAGCATAATTTCCATATTTGTTATAGCAATAAACACGTATTCACTGTAGCAAATGTCTCGCGACAGGTTCACTATAACACAAAATTCGCTAACAAATTCTAACAGCTAACATGAAACAATACAGAAAACATACACAAATATTAATCAAGTAAAGAGAAAGAAATATACGTGTGATTTACTCTTGTTTACCTAATTACCAAGCTACTTCTAGCAAAGTCAATATTATATCAATATTGTCCTACTTCTCTCATTACAATGAAAGTAATTTGCCCCATGATTTGCTTTCACACTTACACAAGAGAAATGTTTGTTTATATATTAGGTTTAAAAGATTAAATCCTAATATTACAAGGATTCATATTCCTAAACATAAATTTAATAATGAATTATTAACTTAAATAAATCGTTCAACGACTCTTCATGGAAAATGCCCAAACACCTACGAGCCCAGGGGTGCTGCCCCCTCAACCCTCGCCTGTTACCAAGGACCCCCGAATGCGTCTACGAAATCCCTTATTATTGAAGTGGTCAACAACTCTAACATAACTCGCTATAAAAATCCAAATCTCTATTTCGGTTTAAAAAAAAAAAAAAAAAAAAAAAAAAAAACATGTTTTTTCAGTGTAAGAGTATTTTAAAACCCTAATGACCTTGTATTACATTAGGAGAGGTGAGGGACGTCCTAGACACTATAAAGGGTGTTAAATCCGAGAGTGTGAGAATCGCTAAACGAAAGACTTGAGAGGGAATTCTTGTAAATTTTTTTATAGTGAAATTCCACAAAGACTAAATTGATATAACTCTCATTCAGAAAAGGAACTATTATAAATCCTTGTGTGTGGTTTGATTATTATTTTCCTTTGTCGCTTAACTTTTGTTTTAATAGACATTTAGGTTTTTGCAAACATCCAATTAGATCCTCAACACCCCCTTCGTAATCATTTATTCATTTATATTACAAAATCTAAGTCTATTATTTGAAGCAATAATAAAAATGATCCATTTCTATAATTTGCAAAATGTATTTACAGTAGTGAACTGTTCTCTTTAAACTTTGGCATATATGTACAGCATTATATATGATTCAGAATCAAGTCAGTAACTAATAATGAAAGGGGAGAAGAGAGGTGGCACCCTAGGGCAAAGCAAAGCAAAGGCCAAGGCAAAGAAAAGAAGAATGCGCGGTAGATAGAGAGAAGGAGAGAAAGGGTTTTCTACAGTTTCACTTAATACTTTTGATTTTGAGCCATCCAGCTGTATGAAATGATATATTTAGCAGACTACACATCTACACGTACGAAATTTTAAGTGACGTCGTCTTCCCCATTTTGAAAGGCCAAAAATTTCGACATATTTTTCTAACTCTGTTAATTGCTGCCCTAAATCTAGAGCTCAGCCTGTGTCTAGATTTGCATGTCGGCGTTTTAAAAAATATTCTCTTAATTTTTTTTTTCTCTATTTATACCTTCATTCATTCACTCTTCCTTCCTCGTACCTTCTATTTCTAAGTCTTCCCCCATAATTTTTATTTTTCTTTGAATAATATGGTTTCTCTTTAGGGTTCTTTTAATTAATTAGGGTTTTGTAAATGAGTGAAGGGAGCTTTCTTCAGTCCAGTTCGAGGCAGTGGAAGGCTGATATTTAGCTGCTGACTCGTTGGTTCAAGAGCTCATCATCATCAGCAGAAGAAGAAGAAGATGGATCGATCATGGAGAGAATCATTACAAGACTTAATTAATGATGAGTTTCTGATCCGACGATGCAGGAGCTGAGTTCAGCCATGGCTGTCACGTCTTGGACTGAAGGGAGCTCCCTGTCTTGAATTAATTAATCTCAATCTCATCCATCATAGCTAAATTTTTATATTTTCCACATAAATTTGCGAATTTAATAATTCTAAACCATGATCATTTGCTTCTTCATCTTCATACTGAATATCTAGACATCTATAGTTTACTTAAATTTATAATATTTATTTGCATGATTTATGGTTCATATTTTGGATTATTAACTTGAAATGTGCTTGTTTTAGTGGTTTTTGATTACAGAAATTAGGGCTAAAAGGGGGATCAAGATTGAAGAGGGAGCTTAATTAATCGGTACTGGAGATGGAGATCAAGTAATGGAAAGTATAAAAACCTAGTTGGATCCCAGCTGTCATTTAATTTCTCTGTGCAAACCAAATTTCTTAATTGGTTTCGTGTTATGTATAGATGATATTGTAAGTATTTGAAACACATGGATCAACCATTGTTGTGCTATTATTTTGATTATTTATTATGCATAATTAATCTAGGGTTTAATTTTAATTATTCACATGTGAAATTTTAATCAATTTATTTCTGAATAGAAGCCATGCTTATGAAGCTAGCTACTCTCTAGCTTCTTTAATTTTTCAACACAAATCTTTGACTTGTCCTCACAAATCTTTTGATTGCAATTAAATCATCGTAACTTGAAATTAAATATAATTTTTTTATCGAGTTGAGTCGATTTATGTTCATCCTAATCTACCAAAACTCTCACTCTACTGACTATTCTTATTAGGAATCAATGAGGTTGATTGCTTGTAAATGCAATGTCCTGATTTAATGTTTTATTTTGGTTAATAAAATATTTTTGAGTATATATGTTTTTAATTGATTGTTCTTATAAATTCAAGATCCAAAGAATTTCTCAATTTCTTTTGAAGATTAGGAAGAGATATAGACAGACATTCTGAAAATTGTAGTGCAAACTACACCCACCTCGCCACATAATTAGAGACTTAAGAGTAATTAATTTAATTAAAGGATGGACCATATAATATAATATAAAATGAAATACTTCAATTTATGACTGTCAGCCACATGGATTTTTACAACAAAAAACAAGAACAATTAACTATCTTAATCACACCATAGAAATCCCAGCTAAAATCCCTTTAGTTATCTCCAAAATTTGGAAAAAAGCCATGGCAGAAGAAATTGGCACACTCAAAATCATCAAAACGACAATCCCCAAAGCCAAACTTGGTCTTGTATTCATTAATTTACCTTGCAAAACCCCTAAAGCGTCACATATTATTGAATCGTAACTTGTATAGTAACGTTTCTCCCATTGCATCCAATCGTCAGGCGCCTCGTAGTTCCTCTCCACCATCTTCATCTCATGGATCCTCTTTCGAAGAACGATCATGTTCTCATCGACAATTCGACAATAATTGTGACAATGATGATGATGGCGACGATGATGATCCGGTGCACTATTTCCTTTACTAGCAAAAACCCTAGTGCTCAAAACCCTATCTTTTTTGCAAGTGCTTGAGAATAATGAAGAACAAGAAGGATGAATAAAATTGAGAGAATATGAAGATGAATCCATGAAAAAGGGTGTCTGAGAATTTGGGTTTGAAAATGTGACGGATATTGAGATGTATTTATAGTTTAATTAAATGAATAAAGAAAAGGATTAGGGCATGTGATTAAGCAAGAAGGGATGCGCAAAACCGTGTCTTAATTAACGGCCAACAGCTGCAATTAATAATTAGTTAGCGCGTAATTAATTTGGTTTTAATTAATTGGGAGTGGATTTGGTGAAGGCCAACACCCCTTGATGGCAAAAGGCAAATCAAAGACTACAAAGGGGTTTTTAATATAATATTAAGAAAAACTTGAATATGAAAAATATATGATTTTTACTCTTTATAATGAGATTATATTCAAACACTCGTAAAATAAATTAAATATATTCCTTTAAGGATACACACACACATGCGCGATATAAAGCTCTTTTTATCAAATTTTATCCTCTGTTAAATACAGTATAACCCCTCTATAGTGATATTTTATATAGGAATAAATTCTACATAGTCATAAACAAATTTATTCCCAATTTGGGATAGTTATAATAAGAATAAACTCTACATTTTAATAAGTTATAATTTTTCTAATTCCTGTTTTAAGAAAAGTTGCCTCTACATATGAATAAACTCTACATAGTCATAAAAAATTTTACTCTCAATTTGAGATAGTTATAAATAAGAATAAACTCTACATTTTAATAAGTTATAATTTTTCTAATTCTTGTTTTAAGAAAAGTTGCCTCTACATAATAATAGTTATCTGTGTGTTGCAAAAAAAAAAAAAAAAAAATGTTATGATAGATTAAAGGTTTAAGATGAAATAAAATATTTATCTAAAGTTATTTAAGGTAATCATTTATGCTTTAGAGTTGTTACTACATCTTTTAACT